CATGAACACTGGAAAGCACCAAAACCATGCTTTTCCTCTTTGTCAATTCATCTTTTATGCAACCAAATTTATAAATATTAAACATAAAATGCTGCTATCATCATGAGAATACTACGATTCGATCTACACTCAGACATTAAGTATTCTTTACTCCTCAAATACAGCTCCAATTTTTACATCAAATTTTTATTTTCAGTAACAAAACACCAGTGAACAGCAAATCTGAAAATCTTGCACATCTACTGGGTCTAGAAATAAAAGTTCGATAAGTAAGTTACCCTACTTGTCACAATACTGCCAGAGTGCCAAAGTAGCTGCTTCTGTCAATTCTATGTTTCATAAGAAAATTAGTTGTGATTTTGCACTAAATTATGAATACAAAAAATAATTTAATTGTGAAGAACTATTTTGCATGAATCATATTTTAAAAACTTTGCAATGAAAAACCATTCTCTTCCTTTTATCAACTTCACGAAGTAAGTTAGTATTAAATAAACGTAAGGGTAATAAATAGTGCAATAAACACAGCAGCTTAAATACCATGTTTACTGGCAAAAACTCTTAAGTAAGCTCTCCTCCTACTTTAGACTCTCCTGTCAATAAATATAACTAAGTTACAAGTCAGTAACTTCATGCTATTCTGAAGGTAGGATTTTTTTTTTTAAAGCAGCTTTATGAATCAAAGTTGAGTATTAGCAAAAGATGCCCAACTGGCACAGAATTCAATGAGACTATTCACATCTCAAGACAAGCATTTACCAGGAAAGCTTCAGAGCAGCAGCATACACCAAGGGGAAGGACACAAAACTGGAAAGTCAGATGTGGATTTTATTCCATTCCCTGCTAATGCTAACCTGCTAAGCGACTGCAGGCAAGCCTACGCTCTTTCACAGCTTTGTATCTCAGATGCCTAAAACAGGGATAAAAATGATTGTTCCTGGGTTTGAGGTGTGTGATTACAGCACGGCTTATGTACTTTGCCAGACAAGACAGAAAGCACATGAATAAGACAATGTCTAGAACTGCCAATTATTAATAATATCATTAGTATTGAGAGAAGAGCATGTGCTTTTTTCTCTTCCAAGCAATGCAATCTAACAACAGCCCACCAAGCCATTCTTAGAGTTGGAGTAATCCTAATGCTAGTTCAGGTTTTATCCCTTCTGAAACTATCAAGAAGGGTGACAGCAGAAGGAGACTTTTGCAAAATTCACCTGTCCACTAATACCACCCTCACCCCATTGCTCTCAGAAACACTGTATCATCACTGATCTTGAAAAAATAAAACCAAAATAATAAAAAGGAAGTAAGCCCTAATAATCTTTTGACATAAAACAGGATGAAAAAGCTTCTGGTAATGACACCCCAGGAAAGGGGTAGAAGGAAAAGAAAGAAACTTAATAGTACAGAAGTCAGAAGGTTGACTTTTTCCTATTTCTTCTCAAGAATATTTTGAAATACATACATGATTTCAGTCCAGTTTTATGGACTCCTAAGAAAACATAAATTAAGTTTACAGTAAGGTAAAACAGCAACTATACTGCTTTAAAACAAACTTAATTCACTCAAGAAAACTGTCCTAATATATAGGCACCATATGATTTAACAATACAGGGAAGTACTGTTAGTCTCCATTTGCAGGTGGCAAAGGGACATCTGGCTGTGCTTCTAAGAGCAAAGACCCTGGAAGCCACCAGCAGGCCACAGCAGTGCTGCTGACTCCACCAGCAGCTGCAGCAGGCCACCCCCATGACAGGGCACAGAAAGTCCAACTTGGGTCCAAAATCTGGGGAGTGGCCTCTGGTTTTGACTACATCACTTGCCAGAGTTCAGAAACAGCCTGTGACACACTCAAAATTAAAACCAAAATTTTGGTTCAGTTCCAATTTTAATTTATAGTACCTTCCTCTACCAAGGAACAGCCTTCAGATAAAGAGGGAAGCCTGAATGCTACACGAGCCATGTACTGTTGAAAGAGAGTCAGTGTCTCACCTCCCAGGTGTCCAAATTTCACTGCAGGTGCACTTACAAACTTCACACTACAGCAGAGCCTTGCACACCACAGGTCTCATCTACCTTACTGGCACCTTTCCCACCAACACACGTGGTGGAAGAGTAACTCTCCCCAGCTCACTTGGTCAAAATTTCCTCTCCTCATACCACTCTCCTCCCATGCCTACGACAGAAGACTGCCCTGCCTCATGCCATGTTGATTGAGCTGCAGAGACACTGTGCATCCTCAGCCTGCAGACGAGTGGCAGCAACCTGGAAAAACTTTAAGCTCTGAATGCGAGCAATTGTATCAGTGAATTTAACAAGAGTTGTCATCTGCTTAAAGATATTCACATGCTTACAGGATCACAAGCTACAGAACCACTAATTTACGAACAAAGTGTATTAAGATCATTCTGGATGAACAGGAAAAACGTTAGCTAGAAAATAATTGCACAATTACCTCTGATATTTTATGTAGAAAACTGACATTTAATATCTTTAATTATTCACACAACAGCTATGAAAGAGAAAGGTTTTTTTCCTTGAACGGGAAAATAAACATGGTCAAATTCCTCTCCATCCTCACCATCACTCCTACACTCCTTTCCTAAATAAACCTCCTGCTGAAGCCAATGGAAGCTTTGCAGGCAATGAGCTTACGGCAAGCAGTGCCCAAAAACTCCAAAGCATCGAGGGCAAGCTTCTTAAATATTCTGAGTTTACCTCAACACGAAAACCAGTCACGTTTCTGATAAATTATGTGTCTGCTTGACAAGGTTTATCAGCTTGTTGTGCCAAGAGGGACAGTAGTATGCAATGAACTTTTGAGATCATGGGCCAATTTCTGAAGCATTCACAAGGCCCCTTTTTAAGCAGCTTCGCCTTCCAGCTTGTTACACACCACCACTGCCACTGGCACTTGTTAAACAAGACCAGAACTCAAGGGTCTCTCCTGTACGTCAAGACCGAATTACTAAAACCCATTCATGAACAGTTACTTTAGTGAGAACTGTATAATAAAAGAAATCTTCCCTTTTACCAAAATAAAGGCTCCCTAAAGTAAATGGAGGTTTCTAGTAATGGACAAATCTAATGAAATCTCTGTTCTCACCTTCACTAGGCACATTATTTTTATTGCCTTTTTTTAAGCTACGAGGAAATGTATTTCTTTTCGTCCTCTAAAGTTTCTATTATGTCTTTTTCGTCAAAAAGATATCCTATCCTTCTTTTCTTTTTTTCAAGCCAGTTCAACATCAGGCAAGAACTACATTCAGCATTATGCACAAATTCAAGGTCCACTCCTCTTACAGCGTGGGAAGACTACAATCACCACTTCACTTCCAGGATCAATATTCCATGCATCCAAAAGGCTTCATCACATAAAACTAAAACCAGATAATGACTGAAGAAGCTACCTGAAGCAAGGTCCCTGAGCTACTCTCATTCAGTACCCTTTACTATTACTCAAAAAAAAAAAGTCCTTAGCACTCACAGCACTCTAATCGGACTCTTACCTGAAAACATAGAAAACTAAGTTCAGAAATCAGTACATTTGTATTCAGCCCTGAACAACGTTTTGAAGCCTATCTGCCAGTTTTTGGATTTCCAAATGCATTTTTACTTGGAAAAAATTGTTGCACCAATTACTCTACACAGAACACAATCCTTGTCAGTAATGCTATAAAACCAAAAGCAATATTCTCCTATGCAACTAGTCTGTCAAAGAATTTCAGTAACTGAATTTGGTGTTTATAATCTTAAACCTACACATACCAACCTCACTGCACACAAAATCCGTATGCCTGAAATTTGGGTGTAAATCTGCAGGAACAGAAATTTGAAATTTGGGTGTAAATCTGGAGAACAGCAGAATCCTCCCTTCAAACCAACTTCCCACAGTGGTTATCCCAGCCTTAGGACTAGCTTTGTGGTCATAATATCAGACCAGAACAGCTGCTCCCAACAGCCCCCTTCAAGTCAGCATGTTTGGGACCATCACTTATCCTATGTCTGCTATACATTGCCTGGAAAAGGTCAAGAGTATGTTATTAATCATTTGCATTTATGAGCACTAAGCTTACCCCGAATACATGTCTTGTCTTGTTTTTAACTATGTACACAATAGTACCAAAAAGAAATGCTACCTCCCACTTCCCCATTTTGGACCAAATGCAGTTCAGTGCCACCACGGGTGATCATATGAGAAATGCTCCAAATGCCACTCATTTTATGTCCTCTATGAATGTGACCCCCAAAATTTAGAACCTCTTCTTTCAACTTCTACTTCAGCTTAAAAGGTGTCAAACCCTTCAAACCATGTCAAAACTTTCCCCAGCATACAGATAAAAAAAAGTTGTGTACCTGAAAGCTTAGGAATTTAGTCACTAAGATTCATCTTTCAAATTGATTGGTACCTGCATTAATCAATGCCAAAAGAAAAAACACTAACACAGAAAGAGCATGAAAGGAATTCTAATTAGCTCTCAGTTTATGTGTTAAAACTGAACCGACTCCTGTTGCAGTAGCACTACAGTTCTGCTAAACTTCTCACTGCTTCTTGACCTCCAGAGTTTTCTAATTACCTATTCTGTTTATATTTTCGTACTTTTCTACCACTGAATTTTAAAAGGACTTTACATGCTCATGAAATTTTCGACCTGTGTGTTGCACTTTGCATATTCTAATGCTACTCTGGCTTCAAACTTTTGCCCTAAGTCAATCAGTTATCTTTACAAAACAAAGTTTAAGAAAAAAAAAACAAGAAAAAAAAACAAGTGAAGAGAGCTCTGAATATGCACAGCCTTTTAATTCCCATGTTACTTGGATGCACCCCTACATACAAACTTTGTAATCTAGCAGTTGCTATGAGCACCCAGCGAAGATGTGTTTTCTGAGGCGCTAAAACCCAAAAAAACATCTTCCACACAAACAGTGGCAGCATGAGGACCTCTATCTTGTCAACAACAACAGAGTTCTTTTTCCATGTGTACAGTTTACATACTTACCCAGGAAAGCAAATGGAAATGACAGACAGACGAAGATGAAGCTGTCCCAAAGCCTTTATCATGTGATAGTGACCTATAAAGTATCAAATAAAGGCACATCATCAGCACACCATGATTTTACAATATTGTAACTCGCCACAACGCCAACAAGAGGAGAGATCCCAAAACTTGAAACTTGCTCCCTCCTCACCCCCACCCCAGCTAAGTTGTCATTAAAACAAGATGACAGTCGTAGGGATCAGTAAGGAGCAAGGAGAAGATGCATCGTGTCTTTAAAGGGCATTCGGAGTGGGCAAATGGAGCAAATCATCTGAGTGTGCATCAGCAGGGTGGGTTATTTTTCCTCTGTCTCTCGCACACACGGATGCATGTTTATGCGCGCACACAGACACATATACGTACACACAGGGATGCATCACGTAATTATTTACATGCACACACAGAGATACTCGCACGTATTATCAAAATAAAAGGCAGAAAGTTGACCACCATCTGCAAGGAGGCATACATAACAATAACCCCCGGGAACTTCGCAAGTCAGCGAGCAATCCCCGCGCGTGGATAAGCCAAACAACGCAAAAATTAACAACAAGAATAAGCCGCCAGACCGCAGGTACGAGATCCACCCGCGGAGACAGACAGACAGACAGACGAGAGGGACGAACGGCAGGCTGCGAGGCTGGAGCACAGTTTCAGGTAATGCCCGTTCCCCCCCGGCAGCGCCCAGCGGAGCTGCCCGGGGAGCCGCGGCCGCCCGGCCGCCCCTCGGCCACCGCAGCCGGCGGGGAGAGACCCCCGGCCAAGGCGGGGGGAGCGGCGCTCGCAGCCACCGCCCGCCCGCCGCCCACCCCGCCCGTGCAAAGTGTAGGGCCACCGGAATTCGGGCTCCGGGGTGGGGTGGAAAGAAAAGGTATTAAATATGGAGAAAGACCGCCGTGACCCAGGGTTTTCCCGTCTCCACCCCCCCGCGCCCCCCGCCCCCCGTCACCATCAAGTTTGCATCCTAGTTACAAAATGTCGATCTTGAAGGCTGACAAGACACCGGGAGAGGGGGAGAGAGCGAGAGAGAGTGAGTGAGTGAGTGAGAGAGAGAGAGAGAGAGAGAAGAGAGAGTCCATCTTGCTTTGAGGGGGGAGGAGAGGAGCAATAATGCAGCGCATAAATCTCACCCTCCCGGGGGAAAAGTCTCCACAACACCTTTGGGGGCGGGCGGGTGCGCAGGGAAGGGGCGGCGGCGCGGGGAGGGGGCGCGGGGGGCTCCCCGGCCCTCCCAGCTGCCCTCCCCGGCGGGCTCCGGCGAGGCAGGCTGGCAGCAAACACCTCCCTGCTGCTCCCCTCCTCCTCCCCGCGGGCCCGGGCGATGATCCCGCTGCTGCCGCCGCCGCTGCCACCGGGGAGGAGGTGCCGCCGCCGGGAGAGCCACATGGAGACCAGCACCTCGTCCCTGCCCCGGCGGCCGAGCCGGGCCCCTCCGCCGCCCCGCCGGGCTGCGGGACTTGGACGTGTCACCAGCAGGACGGGCAATGGTTTCGGCGCCCCAGGCCCGAGTGACCACCGCCGGCCTGGCGGCGCCCCGGCCTCCCCGCACACACTCACCTCCGCAGAAAACTTTTAACCGCGGGCCTCCCCCGGAAAAAGTGGCGAATCCGCCCCGCACACGGTTAAAGCCCCGCGGCCCCCCGGCTCGGCTGGCGGCGAGCGGGGGAGACCCGGGCACGGTCCTTCCCCGCCCCGGCGGGGAGGGAGGGAGGAGGCAGCAGGCAGGGAGGGAGGGGGCGGGCAGCCGCCTGCCGGTGCCTCTCGCCCAGCCGCCGTGCATGTCGCCTCGGCGGCTCTCGCATCGCTTCGTTTTACCTTCCTCATTCAGCGGCGGCAGTGGGCTGCCACCGATATTCCTAACGCAAACCTGCTGCCGTGCGGCGCCCGGGATTAACGCGACTGCCTCCTTTCCCCTGCCTCCAACCCTTCCTTCCCCGTCCTCCTCCTCGCAAACCCACACTGGATCGGCTCTCCTCACAGCCATGCAAGTTTCATACATTGCAAATAAACCCGAGAGGAGGAAGAGCGAAGCGGCTGGCGGGGAGCGGGGGGGGGGGGGGGGGGGGGGGGGGGGGGGGGGGGGGGGGGGGGGGGGAGGAGGAGGAGGAGGAGGAGGGCTGCTTTCTGTAATTTACCAGCGACCCGATCTCGCAGCAGCAAATAACAGCCGAGCACCCATCCGGCTCCCGGCGGCCGGCAGAGCCCCCACCGAGG